TAAGAAAGTAACAAACTTGTTATTAACGTCAAGGTTCCCTACATATCACGAAAAATATGTATTGTGAGTTGCTTTAGCTGCACGTACTGAAGGCAGACTGATACAAAACTATTTTGCAACGTAGCGCACGACGAGATGTATGTATGTGTATTAGAAAAAGTAATTACATACAGAAAGTTAATACAAAACGATATCAAAATTTAAAAAAACTTAAGAAAAGATAAACATTGTTTTAACGTTAGAAAAAGTCTCTGTTTATATTTTGGATGGTAGTATTGGCAGGACATGTAACTGAAATAAGGATATAAATGTAACAATTTAGCGATCAACAATGAGAATTTAAAAGTGTATAGCTCAATAAAAAACAACTGCTCTCGTGACGTCTGTCAGTGAATGACTAACTTGGTTTAATAGTGGACTGCTTTACATAGTCTTTTAGTCAATAAATCGTTACCGAAAATGGTAGTAAAAATGTATTTGTTGGCAAGGTAGTTAAAACTTAGGGGCCCTTAAAAGAACCGATGAGATTGATGGTTAAATAGGGAACTTAAATACTTATAGTGGCCCTGAAAAGGGCCAGTGAGAAAATTTCCAGTTATTCCTTACTATTATTCTTGATAATAGAGAGCCAGCTGCGGGTTGCTTGACTCTTATACTTGGAGTCTCTTTGTAAAGAGACCGTACTAGAGGAAGGTGCGCCGACAAAGAATTACTTGTCTTCAGGTCGTTTCCTGGATAACCGACCGCTCATCGTTAGTTGGAAAAGTGAGCCTGAAGAATACCTTTTCTGTAGGTATGCTGTTAGGACGACCACTAAGAAGGAGGCCGTTGTGGCTGCCTGTACTTTCCAGGGCTGTTTTCCCTGGCTTGCATTTAAAGTAGAAAATTCTCTGACAGCACCAGGCTGGATTGTCATCGGTAGCTGTAATGCCCAGCTGCACTACTAACAACTCTGTGCTTGGTGTACTGCCAATGAACGACCACGATAATCGACAACTCGATGGGCCATCTTATAACTACTCTTTACTATCTTTGACTGTGAATGGCTTCAGTTTTACCTCGGCGCTACCTAGCGGATTCTACTGAACTCAAGCGAAAAGCTAGCTTATTTTAGCAAAACTTTGAGCTCATTTATCGCTATTGTTATCAACTTTTTCAAGAAAAAAACTATGCGAAAACCATCTCGGAGTCATCAAGAACAGTATGCGAAATTTCAGCAAAATTGGTTAAGTAGTTTTCGCGGTTAGCGATTATAACGGTCTTAGCGACTTTGCTTTATATATTAGTAAGATGATAACGGCCACAGCAGCTGATGAATTATTGTGGCAACAATAAGTACGATAATAATAATGGTAAATAGTGATAAGATTACTATTCTTATTAAAACTAATAAATATAATAAATAAAAATTCATATAACACTTCAATACAAGTTCATTCAATGATAATACCAGTTCTTTTTGAATCATATTAACAATAGCAATAATAATTATAATGTTAATTGTAGTGTTAATAAGAATATTCATCTAAGAGCACATACTCCTGTAGGGAGCATGGTAATGTGATACGATTACAATGTAATAAGGCTGACTAATTTTTTATAGTAGCTGTCTCTTTATAGCTGGAGTATAAGCTCTTCAGGAGAATAAGCTCTTAGATATTTACTAGTTTAAGAAGAGAAAGAATTCAAGAAGGAGCTTCCATTCTCTTGTGTTGGTTGCTTGATTCATGGTGTTTTGGGTCCGCCTGCTCAAGTGTAGGAGAGAGGAAGTACGAATAGTTGGTGACTAGGGTGTGTGGCCTATTTCCCATTTGTCCAGGGTACGGTCTGTTATTATCAGCTCTTGTCGCTCTCTTGCGTCATTCATTGGTGTTTCTTGTTTACAATTTTTTTTTATACCGGAAAATAGTAGACTGTTTATCTCGCAGAAACTTGAGAAATATTTGGCGTTCTTTATATTCGTCGGTACTCCAAAGTTGGCGAGTACTCTTTTTTTTACATAAAAAGTAGGAGGTGTGGAGGGAAGAAAGGATACAGGTCTTAAGCAGAAAATCTTTCTTGTTGCTGACGATACCTTTTTTTTCAGATGCAGCAATTAAAGGATGTTTGTCTTGTTAAAGTTAAATTATATAAACCACAAAGTCTCCATGCCAAGCAAGATTAACCTGTTGAAGTTCATATTTGGTGTCTCCCTTGTGGAGGGCCGAGTGCAGGTGAGCGAATGGGTTGAGGAACGGCAAGAGGGTCGATGACTGAAACTGGTCTTACAACTATATCATACGTGATCGTATTTACTATATCTAGCAATTTTCTTTTAACTACTATCACAGAGGCTGGTGGAGGGGGAGGGGCGTATTCTGCCGTGCCGCAAGCAAACCGTAACTTAAATGCGTTTGTCAAAGTCTCATTACACCATGAATCTTTATGTACTCTTTATTCTTCAAAGCGATTGGATCTTTATTTAGTATACTTGTATGAGAGCCCTGTACAATCGAGTTTTTTACTGGTTGATGAAGAGTTTTCACCTTCTGCTACACTCTTACGATGCATTTGGTTTGAAATTTTGCAGTTTTTGGTTGAATCTCAGCCGGCTTTCTCTGGACTGCTCAAATAATTTTATTAATTTTTGGTAATTATCACCCAAGTTTTTAGTCTCATTGTCAGTTACTCGAATGCTTTTATTTAATTGTTGTAGTGGAGAAATTATTATAGGATAACAATTTATGAACGTCTCTGATGTGTTATGTGCTTTATTCACATTATCTATATGAAAAAAATTGATTGAAGCAATAGTAATATTTACTACAAAAACCGAAGTATTATAAGCAACGAAATCTCCTGTTACATGTTCAGCTAGACCATATACTCCAACGATGTATTTTGTATAGCAATAGATATTGGAACACCTATCAAAATAGTTGATGAATAAAAGTGTTACTAATATTTAAAATTTATTACTGAAAAATTTATCTAAAAATATTTCGCTACTTTTAAAATCCCTACTAGATGGCAGGAGCTCTTCACTGCTGTCATTTGGAACATTCAAAGTTGTTGGGAAATCACTAATCATTATCACATATTTGCACTCGAAAAAATTTTCACTAACGATTTCCATGATGGAACTGTCAGAAATGAATGATTACCATTAGTCTTCAAAACTGGAGTATCTATTTCTGCTGATAAATTGCTGCCATTATTAATAAATAATCAATGACTACAGTGATACAGTGTAATAATTTTTGGGAATTTTGCTAGAGATATGAATAATCACTAAAAATGACTGATCATGCGTGGGCTTACTTTTTATGCTTCAAATACATTATTTGTTTTAAAAATAAAACTACCACTCTCCATAGTGGCCTTTCTATCACTTCATTTTCTTGAAAGTGTAATGAAAGTTGAGTTGATGAACAATTAACAGTTATCTGAGTTGTAGCACCTTATGCATAAGTAGTTAAATACTTACGTTAATGCTTAACATCAACTAGCTTTAAAACATAAAATAAAAAAACATTGGAATATTAGCTACAAAATTTTGTTACACTAATATTTTATAATAAATTTTTTTTATACATGGCACGATGTGTAATAGGGTCCTAGCATCCAGTTTCGTCAATTGACATTTCGGATTTACGCATTTCTCCTCATTCATTTGTTAGGAAATAATACATCTGAAGCACTTGAATACTTGGTCTAAAAATTTTTTTTAATTTTCTGCAGAACACCCTGGCATTTTTCTACGATTGTAACACAAAAAAAAAAAAAAAAATACTAGAAAATTCTGCTAGTGCACATATGAACTGAAGCGAATGAATATTATTTCTCTTGACAATGCGGTGCTATTATTAGAATGCCATACCACAACAGAGATTTTGATGTAAAAATATACAATAAACTTACTTTAAGACATAAGTACAAATTATTTATTTATGCTGCTCTCTCTCTCTCTTTCTCTCTCTCTCTCTCTCTCTCTCTCTCTCTGTCTCTAGTGCTCTTCTATTTACAGTCTTCTTCTGTTTGTAACAAACATTATCATAGCCAATTAGTTACTGTCCCGCATTTTGCCACTTACTCCCTTGGAGCTCACTAATTAAAACATATGTACATACATTAGTATATTGTGCAGAAAAATATTAAGTGATTTCGAATTGTATGAAACTTGCTTTCGAAATTCAAAAACTTTTTTTTTAATGCAATTAGGCATTTCAAATATCATATACAGTCAATTGTATAATTTTGTATCCGTTTATGAAGATGATTCTTTACTTGTCTCGTTTTTCTTTCTTTAAATATTTAATTAAACGCATTCCCTGAGTATTTTACTAAGATAATTATAATTATCTTTCAGAATTTGATCAGATGTAAAGAATATACAACGATCATTTATTTGATCCTCACGTAATCGTTGATCAATCTTTACATCTGAATTTTCTCCGTTTCTGTGATATTTGTATTTTAATCATAAAAATATAGCCAACAGTTGAACTGTTTAATTGTAAGCGAAATTCTTTTAAAATAAAACATGTTTTATTAAAATAAAACATATTTTAATAAATACAGTCAAAAAATTTTGTTACACATGCTTTGTTGAATAATTAATCTGTATTCATGTTAGGTGTATACCATATTTCATGTTTTAAATATTTTATCTTTTAAAAATTTTTAAACTATTATAACAGCAAAATTTATTACGTAAGCATTTTCTTTTTTCATAAAGACTGATGAGAGAGTTATTCTAACAGTTGTATTGAAGCGGGAGAAATTTTCATTTTTATTAAAAAAAGACACTCGTTTCCAATGAAATTGTTCCGAAAAACATTTAAGAATCAAATTTTATCCCCGTTTTCTTTAGAGTTGATATTAATAAGAGGGATCATGGTTTTATTATTATGGAATTTACATAGATATAACTTTTAATGATAATTAGCTAATGTCTTAGAGAAATATATTTTATGAGCATATAACCTTTTGCAAAAATTGAAAAAATAAATATTTTTCAGTTCCAGGAATTTTTGACATCATACAATAAACTGTCAGAATTATGTTTTATAGATTGCATATTTGACTTTACAAGCCGAAACATTCAGAAAAAGGAAGAGAAATGTACTGTCAACTGTATGGAGAAATTTTTGAAAATTAACCAAAGAATATCCCAGCGTTTTCAAGAATTTCAAATGATTGCAAATGAAAATACTATTTCAATGGCAAAACGACTCAAATGATTTAATACAATGATTATGTAAACACATTGATAAACCTTATAAAGTTTTTTTGGTATTACATGTAAAATTATACGAACTACATGTATCATAATCCAAGTACTGAAACGGATTTCTTACTACATTTATCGCATATCAGAGACAAAACTTAGTGATTGCTGCAACAGCTCAACACAACACTTTTTTTTTAAATTTTCCTTTAGAAGCCGATCCCTCAAAATTTCAACCTAAAATTTAGTGTAGCCCCTCAACAACTCTACACGTTACGCACAGAACGGTTCAACATACCGTTATCTCAACAAAAGTCACTCAAAACTATTATTTTTATTTGTGTATAAACACAAATCAGGTATGCACAAGTGTAGAAGCACAATTGTGTTGAAAAATCTTGTGCAAAGTACGTTGTATTTTATTGTTTGATATTTGTACAAAAATAAATATGTCTACACCAGTGCAAACTCAAAGCATAACTCTGCACAAACTTATTATCAACCACCGTTTTCACACAGTTTGGCTATTACTACTGAAAAATAGATATCTTTAAATATTTTACTTATTTTATTTAAAGCACATTATTAAGGTTTTTCCGAGTAATGGCGTCTTAACACTTATACATTATCCTGAATTCGAAGAGCCGACCAACCTCCTTAAAGTAGATATATCTGGTAACGGTTTACTACCTTAGTAAGCTGGAGTTTTGCAATATTACTCTAAAAGATAAGTTCATCCAAAAATTTAATTTGTTTTAGTATAAGATACCCTGATATGCTTGCAATAAATTCTCCGTCGAGCTCCCAGGATACAGTGCAACCTTTGGCTCACAATATCTTTTTAAGTCTCACTCTCTTTGCCATTCCACTAGTTAGTGCTACAGAAATAATCTGAAGTCAGAATCTTGTATCAAAGTTAAAAAAAACTATCCTAACTCATATTAAGTGTAACTTATTCAGGAGAGATGGGTCCAGATATACACTAAAAAGATCTACACAAAGGCACTTACACGAAAATGACTGTACAGTAGATATTTATGTGCTACAGTGTAGAGGCACGGATATTCCCGACACACGTGTACAATATTTAAAAAAAAAATATTTTGCAAAGATAAGTTTTGCAAAACTACTTGTGCAGTCTTAATAAACACAATACAACTACAATCACAAAGTGGTTTACGCAAGTGTAAAATTTTTTTGCCAAGTGTTGATTTTACATTGTGCTGAGTCAGTTTGTATACAGCAATTAATGCAAGTGTAGACTTTGCTTTGTGTAAAGTGATAGACATGGGCACAAACAAATAACCCAATAACTAAACGTCTCAAGCAAGTTGTATGTTTTCAAACCTATTTAGGGAGGTAACAACGTAATTATCCGAAAGCAATAAAAAAAATCGTTTTTCTATAAAAAAATTTTTTTCCAATTGTTCAAATCATCGCGCGCGTTAGGACTAGTACTTTACCAGCCTTAACGCCATCTATGATCCATTGAGAGGAAGCATTATGCTTTGTTGCGATTTAGTGCCTGGAAAGAATCGTTTTAATTCTGTTGTACAAGTATGTTTTCTTGTAATTTATCAAAAACATATGGAAAACAAAGGATGCAAAAATATTTTAGCGAATAATTGAACTCAATATTAATTTTTTTGTACTTTTTTTAGATTAAGATAAAAAAATTACGTCTAAACGGCATAGTACGGAAATATTCAGCTAAAAGTTATACTTTTTTCTTTCTGATATTGGAACACCTATCAAAATAGTTGATGAATAAAAGTGTTACTAATATTTAAAATTTATTACTGAAAAATTTATCTAANTTTGAAAAATTTATACTCGGAAATCAATAAAATTGAAACAGAAGTTACATCTAAATAGAAATAAAATTTTTCTTTCGATCGGTGATTGGTATACAAAAGCAAAAAGCAATCTAGGTTCATTGTAATTGGTCGAAGAAATCCTAAGATTCGATTGATTACATACATACATGTGCCTCCCCCTTCCCATACACCCAGGTGGAAGTTTTTCCAGAACACTAAAACTATTGCAGTCGTACTCCAGAAAACTTACTTATATCACGTTAAGTTATCTCAACAAGTGATTCTTCTCCCATTGGTAAGTTTTCTCTAGAAGGGAAAAAATTCTATCTCTGCTTAAAAACATTAATTACTATTTTAATGAGTGTCACACAGTTGGCTCACTTATTTTCAACGGTATTAAAATAAGTTAAAAAATTATGTGTATTTCTGCGTTTACATTTTAGGCAGGTAAAAAAACGGTTCATTCTCATGAAATATAAGTACAACATATTGTTTAGTTTACAAATAAACTTTACGATAGCTTGTCCATCGTTTTTTATAAAAATAAGCTAAAGTAGAGATTTTAATAATTTAAGAAAGTTGTGATATACAAATTCTCTCTATATGGCCAGGTGCACGGCACTGTGGACAATAATGAAGTCCTGTCGTGGGATCGAGGGCATGAGATGAACGTGAGTTAGCAGGACCTCAAAGCCTGCACAGGCATACGTGTTTACAATCGCTCATCGCGAAGGATATTGGTATGCTTTCGTCCCTGCATACAACGCATGCGTATATGGGTAGCTTTGTAACGTCAACCAACTGCTCTTTCAATAGCGCTATTTCCTTCTCCTTTTCCACTGATGCACGAACTGAAAAAAAAGTAGAGTTGAGGTGCATTGTTTGTAGTGTATTCAATGTTGAACAGTATGGTTGAATTATCCCTTTTAGTGCAATCTTGTGCAAAAATTTGTATCAGTGGGAGCACAGAACAATGTGCGCAGACAGCAAAAAAAAAACGGTGCGAACGTGCACCTGATTCCGAGCTGCAGGTGCACGCTCTTTTCCCGTGCAAGCCACTGGAACTTCGACCTAGCTGCTCCAGTAAAGTTCGACACTTATTTATTAATGCTAATTGATCTATGTAACTTATTCGCATACATGCATATAAGTAACATAGTTAAACACCTGCAGCTCGAAATCAGGTGCTCGTTCGCACCGTTTTTTTTGCTGTCTGCGCACGTTGTTTTGCGTTCCCACTACGCACGCTGTTTTTGCCATCAGCACTGAACTGCCTTTAGCTGTGACCGAATTTCTCCATGTAGGCATTTAATGTTGTTTCTCAGCTGATAAGGAAATAAAAACGAACAATATATTTCATGCATCTTTTGCGGATGGAGCGTGAACAAAAATTTAAAGGCTTTTTACTCTAGTTACAAATTTAACGACGCTTGCAGTGAGGCCAGGGCATTGCCCTTTCCATCCAGTTTTTATAACAAATCATGCCCAGGGGTGAACTCCGATAACGGCGGGTAGCACCCTCCAGAACTGTAATTAACAGCCTGTATAGAAAACCATTTGTAAAAAAATATTAAGTTCATCAACGATGAGTGGGTAAAACAGTTCTCAAAGAATTTCAAGTTGGTGTAAATTGTCTCAGACCATCGAGCATACATTACCGTCTAATTGAGTTTAAAATTATTTTTTTTTCTTATTCTCATGTGTTTTTTATCCCTCGGTGAATAAACCAAAACAAAAAAAGTATAGCAATCAGGATCGTTAGGTTTGAGCGTACTTTTAATTTATTTAATTATTTATTTATTTGTCTATCGAGAGATAATAGACGTATAACAAATTAGTTGTTATATTTAGGTGTGCTTATTTGTTTGATTTGTTATGCGGCATGCTGTCAATAAATCGACTGTTCGCTCATTCGGTGGTGTTTCTCCGGCAACCATACGCAAAAAAGCAAATTCAACCAACGCCTGATCGCCTTTACAACGTTTGCCCTTCTTCTACATAGCATATTTAAGATCTCGCTGACGACGTGCTTCGTTTGAGAAATTTTTATCCACAATACGGTGCTCCATGCACTTCGATAGCTACGTTCCAGGACTCAAAAATTTGTATCCAGGTACATTTATCTCAAATGGTAGCTCTTAGAATATAAGTAAATTTGAAATTACGCGCGCAACGCTGGGATGATAGGCATTGAGCATGCGTAAGAGCTCTCGATTCGCGTGATTGATACATGTTCGACCACGATAAGTATATTCAGTGTATAGATAACTGTTGCTGAGGCAAGATGCCTTATGTTTGATATGAAATGTTAATTATAATAAATTCAAGTATGTTATAGAAAATATGTTTAAAGTATTTATTTTCCAACGCTCATTTATTTTTAACATCGTAGAAGAGGTCCGTGGTTTGAGTTGCCTGTTTCGTTTTTTTTTTTTAATTTTTCACGTGTCTCTTTGGAGACACGTTACAATCACTTGTAAGTAAGGCTAAAATTTTAAATGGATAAAAAAATACGTAAAGTATTAAAAAGATGGGTATAAAACGTGTTTAGTGTTATGTTCCACAAGTGTTTCATCGCAAAATTAATTGAGATGCAAAAGGATTAAAAAGTTTTATGAAAGAGAAAGTTTGGCACGTGTTTAGTGGATGGAAGTATAATATAAAGGCAATGTTCAAGTATAGGTAAATAGAAAATATACAAGGAACAGATAGAACTCTACAGATCAACAATGAGCGAATCTTAAAAGAGATAAACAGTGAAAATTTTGAATTAAAAAAGGAAGACAGACTGTGTGAGATGAAGTGTTTTAAAAAATTTTAAAAACGTGCTGAGTATATTAAAAGTAGTCAAAACCAAAATGTAGCAGACATGATGGACGATATTAAATTCATGTAACCAATTTTTGATGTTAGTAATTATATTTTGTGGAAAAAGAGAATATTGATATATTTAAGGTCGAGAAAATGTGAAGATGTAATTAATCAAGAAACAAAACAGAATCAGCTTGGGAAGATAAAGATTTACAAGCCATAAATTGCATATGTCGTGCATTAACTGTACATCAATTTGTATGGATACACGAGGGAACAAGCTCATATGAAATTATTTTAAAAATTAGGTAAGTTATACTTAAGAGAATCAAGAGCATTGCAGATATGTGTGAGAAATAAATCAAGTTAAGGGATTTTAAAAAATTTAGTGATTTTTTAAGCAAATTTCAT